CATAAATTGACATTTCGTTCTGAATCGTTTTTCGCAAACATCTCGAAAACTATCGAACTGATTTCAATTTTTTGTACATCGCCAAATATTCTGCTTGATCTATCTCAATCGACCAAGGTATGTATACTCCTTCATACTAAGTATTTGAGATGTTTCAATTTTTTTTTAAAACAATATTCAAAATTGTATTTCCATTCTTGCCGCTTTTATTTAGGTGTTTTGAGAATGACAATCGAATCATATGATAGAAGCTGTGAATTTTTTTCAAAGTTCCTACGAAATTTGCTGAAGAAAATAAAAATTAACTTTTATGGATCGTGATTCTCTATGGAAGGTGATGGTTTCAAAACGTAACTTCGAATAATACATCAATCATGCAGCATATCGTATATATATCGTCTGACTACCATCCATAAAACGATCATTAGAATGCGATTGCCACCATACGTCCGGGCAATGGCGCTACCTGCTCCATATACACTCATTCACACCCCTTCCGTTAACTGTGTGAATACGTGTGCCACTACGCTAATCCCGTGGCCACGCGTGGCGTCAATCTGGACACCCATATATACCAAAGATTATCGGTGAGCTTACAGGCCACTGCGATGTGCACTAAAAACTTTCGTAAGGAGTCGATTTTTCGCCTTAGGTTTTGAATAATTAGAAAATGATTAGAAGGATTTTTTTCATCCTTACCTTGAATATCATGGTAAGGGATCATGATAAGGGATATCGAGGATATTGGAAAAAAACCCCTCCAAGTTCACTTTTTTTTGGAAAAGTGAGAAGTTTATTTTTGACCACGCCGTGCGGATGGAGTGACATAATAGACACACTTGACCTTTATAAAAGTACTTATCAATCACTTAATATCCAGATGGTGATGAAAAATATTGTTCGATAGATGTGGGCCGGGAATTTTGACGAGTGTAAAGTTGGCGACCCGAGGCAAAGCCGAGTCTCACTCGTATCGAAATATACTATTTCATTATTCAATGTAGGCGCATAGGAGTACGATAAGTAGAGATTCGGCGACTGGAAACTCGGTCGGTAAGTACTTGTCTAGAGACGCCACCGCATCGCTTGATTCACGAGCATGCGACTACAGCATGGGATAACGATTTGGAGGGTCGCTTTCAATTAATAAAACCTGTCGATACACCACGTGCATGTATTACTTCGAATGAACCAAGAAATGGGAAGGGAGATTTCACGTGTGGCTATTCAATTCCCAGCAAGCAACTATCTATCGAATTACAATTTAATCATAATAATGATTAAACAGAAAATTAAATAGTCAATTCTGCTGTAGTTTTTGAATCAGAAGGGAGTATTATTCAGGCAATGATAATGGATGTGAATTTCAGATCATCATGTCAGACGTGTTATTGGTGAACAAAAAATGTACGGTTTTCTGTTAGAACAACGAAAAAAGTGTGGATACTTCTATCTTACTATTCATGAATTTTTCATTAGAATAATACGTCAAATTACATAAAGCCCTAAAAGAAAATGTTCCCGGTTTCTCGGTTATTAGTAACACAACTTTATGGCGCGTTGTGAAAAAGATGAATGTCAAATACAAAGCATTCAATTGAAAGACAGTCCTGATGAAAAATCTAGAAGTTGCCCGAAAACGGCTAGTGTCTTCAATCAAAATAAAACATTATCAAGACGCTGGACGGGTAGAAGATATGCCATCTCGGTAAAATATAGAAAATGACAAAAACTGGTGTTTTTGTAAAAAAATGAGCCAAGTAAAAGTTTCGCTCAATTGATTCCGTAAAAAACTCGTGTTTTGCCAAAATATGGCATTCCTAGAAAAAAAACACCAGAAAATGTAAATGAAAACGCCAAGAAAAGTGATACGACTCAATTGGAAGGATTCAACAATGAAAATAAAAAAATCAGTAGAGGCAGGACCAACTTACTTGGCGCGGATTTTGCCAAGAACTGCAGTTAGAGCCAAAGTTTATCTTCGGTCACTTTTAATTATTAATCAAATTTCATTTTAGCATTATCCTGTAAATAAAACCGCCGCAAGTAAGTTGGGCCTGCCTCTACTGATTTTTTTATCTTCATTTGTTCAGGCAACAACCTCATACGGCATTAGGCCAAGGGGTGGCAGCACCTCCTTGGCTATCTCTAGTTGACCGGCCGTACGTCAGATATAGGTGCCCCAATTACGCACCTGTGTCGCTGACCTATATCTCAATGATTATGATTATGTTCTCTTTCGTGCGTGCGCGTGGTCAAGTGACATCAATCTCTAACGTTCTCTAATTACATCCGTAATTATCTTGCGAATCACACTCAATTATAAATCTCTGCCGTGATCAATTAATGAAGTGCTTTATCGCGTTCACTGTGACATATTTATTTATTATCTGGACACACTGTAAGACGAGAAATATACCGATTTCTTAATGACAAAAATTAGCGTGTCTCTAATCTGTTCTCGAATTCTCGGAAAGGGAGTATCATTCCTCGGTAATCTTCCGTTATCTGATTATCGGATAAAAGCTGTATTATTAAATTCTCTGGGATTTTCATATTTATTGTTGATCAACCAACTATAATATTGGAAGTTTTTCCATATTAAATAAATGTATTCTATTCCAAACGATAATTTGGTCAAGGCCACTATTACCTTCGCTAGCCCTAGAGAAGGCTATATATATAAGGTGTATAAGGGTATATATGTGGAACAAATTTTTCGGGTTCAAGACGGAACACTGTCATAAGACTTTAGAAGGCTGCGGTTAAAGTACTAATATCTTTCCTGAAAGATATCAACAATTATCTATATTTTTCAGGAACGCTCGTTGTTATGGATGTTCACAAAAAAGTATTAAGTAATCTATTCCACGCAAATTGTAATTTATCTGATTCCAATTGATTATTGTCTATTGGAGATAGCCGTATGAAATAGTTTCATTAAAAAAATAATAATTATTGGCAAAATGAATTTTTGGTTGCATCATTTCATACTTGAATGAGTGAGCTATTATATTAAGAATTGGGCAGATTTTTCAAGAAAATTTGTGACTCTGACACCTGGTCGAAGTTCAATCACTTTTACGGTACATAAAACACTAGGGTGTTTTCATCTACCCCTCGCAATAATGGGACCTATGTCATGAAACTAAAATTCCGTATTGCCGTAGACTGATTGCGATCTAGAAAATGAAAGTAGTACCCATGCGGTGTTTTTTTCGTCAAAATACAAGATTCCTAAGTTTGCATACTCTAGTTTTGAAAAGGATATTACTACACAAAAGGTAGGTCTTTTTGGCACAAGTACTGAACGCATGACCAAAGAATCACCCATATATGGTGAGCATCACACGAGTGTATCAAGGGGCTTACGTACGTATCGCAAATCCAATTTTTTGTCATACCCGTTGAGTTCTCTCATCCGCACCGTAGTAGGGTTGAGGCGCATCGAGTAAATGGATAAAGTTCCATTGCATGGAGCATGGATAAAGTTTAAGAGAGTGCACGCGCAAAGAGAAAACTGCAATGAAAATTACTTGCACAAACAGGAAAAATTTACGAAATCTTATCTGAAAACTCTTGACTATAATGATTCGTGATATCCCTGTTAGATGCTACTGTATCCAGAATGACTACGTAACTTTTTCGTACGTTTTTAGTAACAGATCTGGAAATCTACTGAACGTTCTATACAAATTTACCTTAAACTATTCTCGTTTGATGATGAAGTAAAATTTTCCATAACATTTCTTGAATATTTCTCTCCACGTGAAGTAAAGTTCGAAGTGACGAATTGGCCCTACATACACATACATTTTGAATCGTAAAATTGCATGGGTAGAATTAGAACGGTGGACCATAATGAAGGATTTGGCCATTTTACTATTGTCAATCGTAATTTGAAAATAAAAAGACTAGCTTCAAATCAATTCCTTTTTTTTAATTACATTATCGAAGAAAACTTCCAATTGTGTTGGAAGAAAAATGAAGTCAATTCCAGAGAATTGTGCCATCATAAAATATTAAAAATGCAAATTTCGTTCCAAAAAAACTTAAAAATGTCAGAAACATACGCGAGAATTCGCCGCGATAAAGACCGATTTCCCATCATGAAAATAATGAGTCAATAATGAAGGGAATCAATGAAACAAAAAACGCGAACATGGAGCCTTCCTTATACCCGATTTGTTAACATCACTCCCTGCTTCAATACTTTGTGAGTTCACATCGTAAAAAGGAAAATTTCACATGTAAAAATCCAAGGGCGCTGCAGCACTTAATATCTTGGCTGTAAATATTTTTTCTCTCGTTTTCCGTAAAAAACAAAAATTGTCAACAAATTATCAATTCCGCTTAATTGAAAATTTAAGTTATTCTTTCTTTTAAGTTAGTATTTTATTTTATTACTGCAACTTAATGAAATGAACATAGTATTCAATTTATTTCCGCTATCAGAAAAAAGAAATCAAATTTGAAACGTAAAATTTGAGAAAGTAATCTGTTCTCTCCTATTCCATTGACAAATTATTCTGATCCTAAAAACATTTTAAAAAAATATGTACATCGAAATTTTCTTTCTCTTTTTTATACGATTCTAATTCGTGATGTTTGGATAGAGAAATGTACTTTTTAAAAATCAAAGTCTCAATTTCCAAAAAAAATTAACGTATATTTCCCGGAATTCGCGATTTCGTCCGCGGTTACGATTTTCACATCGTAATTTTTCTCCTTAAAATTTTCCCGTCTACCGCCTCTCAATTTGACGCATTTCGTACGGAAAATGGGGCTCTATACACTAAAAAACAGACATTAAGCTTTTTCAAAAGTAAACTTTTTCAGCAGGCCACCAAAGATCCCATTTTCAGCATTTTACATTTTACAACTACCCCTTTAGAATTTTTCTAGATCGCAGTTTATCGTGTGGTGTGCTTATACCCTGAGACATCCCTATTTGGAGCAATTTTCTGATTTTATCAGTTCTGCTTGTTTCAATTACTCACGGTAACTTCATGCGCATGAAGATCCAGCAGGTGATGAAAGAAACAGTGATGCATATAAATCCAACGGAAATTAGAAGTATTCTATTAAGCTTTGGAGTGGATGGAGAATGAGTCTGATCCAGTATGATGAAACCGAGGCCACCTAGAGTGAAGAGAAAACTTGAAGCCAAGCCTTCCATAATGTACTGGCCGTTCACTCTATACGGCATAAATGCCACCTGAAATGCATTTTTATCAGAAATTTTTCAGGAATAAGTTCGGTTTTTGCACAGTAACTTAGTATCTTTAAGCGAACATTTTCAGAAAAATTTTTTGCAGGCATTAGTCACTGCAAAAATGTAATTCGTTCTCTCTTATGTCTCAAGATATTGTGCAAAAACCACGAGTTAAAATTACTCTATATTCATCAACTACAATCAAGAATGGAATCTCTTATTCTCGAAAAGAATATATTTACCGGCCTTGTATGACCATGCTCATCAGTCGTTGATCCTACGCTCGGGGGTTCCACGATCACATCATAGATTATTCCTAATGAAATGCCAATAATTTCATTAATTAAGTGATACATTAATTTATCGTAAATATAGTCTTAATTTGATATGGATACGTGTATAGTTTTCCTTTTTCATCAGCTTATAAAATACAATTTCCAAGAAAAATCTGGAATTTCTCGAATGGCAGTCGATGGTGCTACTCCCTATGAGAAAAAGGTATATGAAGGGAAAGATGCATGCAGATGTCATCATATTTACGCTTCAGATGAGGAATGCTGTGAGAGCAAGTCGAGCTCTCTATCTCTATTAGTAGAAAGGGTAAACGAGAGCCCATTGTATCGGGTGATGAGCCTTTACGACCCAGGTCCTAAAGACCCTTCCCCTCCGCTGAAATCCGCCGAAGTCGGGGTAACACTTAAGAAAAGGATAAGAGGAGAAATGTCGCTGAAGGAAAGGAAAAGCGGAGAAATGAGTAAAAAGCGGAAAATTTCAAATTTTCCTTCTCATCACATTTTCATTTATTTTGTAATCTGACATGACGAATAACATGTAAAAAAAGTTTGTTGAATTTCAGAAGTGAGGATCAAATTGGACAAAGTCATATTCCAATGGTTCCGCAATTATTTATTCAAGAAAAAAAATTGATTGAAGGAAGAATGTTAATTGATGAAAAGTTTTTAAAAGGAGTTATTCACAAGAATACTCATTGTGTTTTGGGGTTCAGTGTACACTGAGAGGGATTAATAATAGCAGAACAATCGATTTAACGTCTAGAAAATGAAATGGATTTATTCTATAGTCATAGCGGTATAGCGAGGTTTACACCATGAGAACTGTAACGTAACTGTATCGCGCGACAATAATATTCGAAGGTATCCGAATTATCGTGAATCATCGAAGGTATCCTGCGACACAGACAGCGCAATTTACTTCATCGGTAGGGCATTCTGTTGCTAAGCCGAAAGCACAATAATGTGTTGAGCTGTACAAAATGAACCGATACCAAAATAAATCTTAATAACATCAGAAATAACAGCAGCGGGGAAAACATATCAATAATTCAGGAAGTGGAATTTTTGGAATCATGTCAGTTTTTTCCTATGGATAATAGTTATTTTACATTTAATTTAATAACTCGGAATTTCAAGCTATTAGATGAAAGTTGTATGTAGTTTCAAAGAAGAATTAAGAATAAAACCTTGTGTCCTGTAAGACTGGTTAAATTAAAAATAATGAAACGTATTATATTTCATTCTTCAAAATGTATTTTTGACTATTCTTGGCCAGCATTTTGAAAGATATTAATAATTGATACAGTGAGGATTAATTCTAATGTATCATTTTGGCCGTTCAATGTTTTCAATCTGCTAATTTGAATTTTTTGAAACGATTGAAAGGTGCTGGTCTGCCTCACCACCCCACCCCACTTTATACAGTTCCTCGCATTTGCAGATAAATATTGATAATTGCTCGGTTCACTATTGAATGATTCCATTTATCAACCATTCTAAAGTAGACAGTTGAGTACCATCACTAATCAGAAAGATTGACGAATTTTTCAAAAATTATCATAAACGATTACTGAATGTTTATTGTGTGACATCATAACTGAGTAGTCGAACTGCATTCAATAAAACACCAAATTGAACTAATCCGCATAATAAGACACCACATCCGACTACACCCGTAAGTATATCATTTGATTGTATACACACAGAAAAAACTATTTTTTAAATACGGGATTTAGAACGTAATTTGCGACCTAAGACCGTGTAAATTACTAGGATGCATATCGCGAATTACGGGGTCTGACACCGTAATTTACCCGCTATTTCTCGTCATCTGCAACATCTCAATCACATAAAATCTGTAATTGGCATCGTCAATATAAAAGAAAAATTTGTTTGGGCAACGTCAAATTTTTAAGTTTGAGGATATTTTGAGTTATCTGAATTCCAAAAAAATTTTTAAAATGACAAAAATGAAACATTGAACATTCGGTTTTTTTTGTAAATTTGGAAAATTTTACGGGAGCTATGGCAGATAGCTAATTATTTCTCTCAGAATTTGCGATCTTCGATTTCTTTCCTCTTTCAGTGTTTTCGGCGGATGGCGGAGTAAAGACTGGAGACCAGTAGCTTTTGGAAATCATTGCTCCCACTCATCAGGATGCACGCCACTCTAATAATTGTCTCGACGGGCAGAAGAAATTTTCTTCTCGCAATGATCTATCCTTAGAAATACCCCCCCCCCCCTCTCTCTCTCTTTTCATCGTCAACGACAAGATAATATTGCCACCCAACGATCCGATCCGATTGGGAGAGCTCGCAACCAGTTCAAATCTGGACTGAATCGAATTGTTAGCTGAGGATCACTGCTTCTGAACAGGTTCCTCGGGCAGCCCCATTTAGAGATAGCAAGATTGGGCGCAGTGGCCAATCAGCAGCAGAATCTATTGTCTCTATTCATCATGACACATAGCATTTCACTGCTCGCTCTGAGAAAACTAGTGATTCTATGCCTCTCGGTCCCCAGAATAAATTTTCACTTCTCAACTTATCCCGAATGATCCCCCTTAAGCTTCAGCCAATAGATAATTATGAATCGCAAGGATTTGATTCTGTTGGAGATACCCCACCAACGCTTCTGGCCTCCACTGCGTCTAATTGCCCGTTGGAAGTCTCTGCTTCTGGACAGATTCTTCAAACAACTTCATGTGAAGATACAAATGGGGATAGAGACGAACATCCACTAGAAATATCTGTTCTCACCCATGAAGATATACATCATAGTGACCATCGTCTAGGAGAAATTGCACATGATACAGTCTTGCTGACCTCCGCTTAATTCTCCAGGCTCAAATGACAAATTGCACGCGATGAATCTTAGAGAATCGTCCAAAGGTTCACTGTGTCCTGCAGAACCCTCAGTCCATAGCTACCAACATTCTGAACGTATGGTTGACTTAGGCAATGTGACGTTCGTTCAAAAGAAAAGTCGAGGTACGCCTGCTAAAGGGCGAACTATAGTCATGGAGAGGCCTATCCAGTCCAGAAAAATCACCAAACCTTTTGTAAAATTATCAGACGATAATTGACGATTATCAGACGATGACATTTAATAGATCATAGTCTTCTGAGTATAATCATATTATTTGTAACAGGAGGTTAATGATTTCTCTTCAGCGTCATCGACGGAACATTCAAAATACAGAGATAAAAATTAAAATAGTCAACAATTGAACAGCTCGAGGAAAATTTAATCAACCGCGCATGCGTTTAAATATTGATTTACACAAAACCACCACCCCAGTGGGAATCAACAGGTCGAAACGAGACACGAACAGAGACGAGGGGGCTCTCAAGGCGAACATCAGTCTGGACCACTTCGAGCTGCCGAATCTGCAGCAAGATAGGTATTTATCTGCAGACTCTCTCGTAAGTAGACCGTGGCCTGGCCACGCGTCGCCCGAACCTCGTCAGCGTTCCCGCCAAGGCGAAGTTACGTCTCCACGATGAAAGACCTACCAGCAACAATGTCAACTTAGACAACATCATCTCAGTCAACGTGTTGCTAATGAACTCGCCTATGATATAAACCAACGGAACAACAACAGTGAATTAATCGTAAATTAATTCCTCTCCCAGAACTCTCTTTCCCCCCCTCAATCCGACCTAATTGCCCCCTCACCCTCACACTCAACGCTCAACGCTCTGCATACTTTGATTATACCTTTCAGAACAACATCTCCCCCCTCACTTTCAACAATATCTTCCAAAACACTCTTGTTAATTTCTCTGCTCTCTCTCTCCACAAAACTCAATCACCTCCCCTCTTGTGTGTCGTTCTTCCCCCTCAGTTAATGACACTGAGTTGAGCATCCCGAACAAACATGCTCTGGGTAAACGCACAGCTAAATGCTCTGACGAAGAACTAGATTTCGAACTTCCCAAATGCACGAAGAAAAAGCTCCACAAAACCCCCAAAATCAAGAAATCCTCCCCTCAACTTGAAAAATCAATCTTCCCACTTCCCCTCCCTCCACACTTCCAAAAACCTCGCCTCGATGCCTTATCATCTCCTAAGAACTTCAGAAAAATCGCTTCCCTCTCAAGTCTCTTATCAATCATTTGAAGTCTTCTTTCAAGCTGACTACTCTGTCCTAGACACACCTGACATCCACAAAGTCAACCTTGCTAAAATCCTCATGAATATTCTAAATGACCGAGGCCATAGCCACTCCTCCAGCACCAGAAAAATCGGTTTCTCCATCCTAGTCTCCTTCCAATCTGCCAAAATTGGCAATGAGGTCATGGACCACCACTCTTTGAAGTCTCCTAACATCATAGCCTACACCCCTGAATTTAATCTGTCCAGACCTGGCATCATCAAAGATGTCCCACTGATCATCTCCATTTCTGACCTTCAATCAGACCTGATCAGCGGTGTCCCAATTAAAGAATTCTCTCGCTGCAACCGCTTCACATCGTTCCCTGATGGGAGCAGACACATGTCTCCATCTACCAGCATCCTTATCAAATTCAATACAACATTCTCTTTCAGATCACCCCCTACTCATCTCAAGTTAAAAGATGCTCCAACTGCCTACGTTTCGGTCACTCCAAATCCCAGTGCAGAAGCCAACAAACATGCAACCACTGAGGCAAGTCTAACCACAACAACCTCCCCTCAGACCCGCCGTGTCCTAAAGCCGATCAACAGCATTCCTGTATTAACTGCAGAGGGAAACACTCCTCAACTGATGATATCTGCCCCCAGTTATCCAAACAGAGATACATTCACAAATTCGCTGCCCAGCAGGGTATCTCTTACATTGAAGCCAGACCAATCATCTCCTCCAATCTCCAAATCTCCCCTCCCCCCGCGAACGCACCTGCACCTGCCCCCTCACCCTTTAACCTAAGTGACTCTCAACATTTCCCCCATCTCTCGCACACCCCCTCGCTCATACAACCGTTGTTCCCCTTTCTTCAGCCCTTCGCTCGTCATGTCCCTAATCCTGATCGGATGCCTCACCGAGCTCCCATCAGCCCTCCAATTCCATCTCTCAATC